CCCTACCAGTCATCAGATACCCCGCTGGTATAATAAACTGGCCAAAGGAGGAGATAGAGGCTACTGACATCAAGACGAGAAAGCTCCTCACAATGCATGGAGGGTTCCACCCCAAATCCAGCACCCTGAGACTGTACACCAAGCGTAGCGAGGGAGGCCGAGGGCTAGTGAGTGTCAAGACCACTGTCCAGGATGAAACAACTAAGATCCAGGAGTACATCAGAAAGATGGCCCCCAAAGACAAATGGCTTGGTGAGTACCTCAGGCAGGAAAAAACCGAAAGTGAGGACAAGAAAGAGGAAGGAGAACCATCATGGAGGGACAAGCCGCTGCACGGCGTCTACCACAGACAAATAGAAGAAGTGGCTGATATCAAAAAATCCTACCAGTGGCTGGAAAAGGCTGGACTGAAGGACAGCACAGAGGCACTAATCATGGCAGCACAAGAACAGGCACTCAGTACAAGATCAATAGAGGCCAGGGTCTACCACACCAGGCAGGACCCCCGATGCAGACTGTGCAAAGATGCCCCTGAAACAATACAGCACATAACAGCGGGGTGTAAAATGCAGGCAGGAAGTGCATACATGGAACGCCACAACCAGGTAGCTGTCATAGTGTACAGGAACATCTGCCATGAGTATGGGCTGGAAGTCCCAAGGTCAAAATGGAAGACACCTCCTAAGGTAGTTGAGAATGACCGAGCTAAGATCCTATGGGACTTCAAGATCCAGACTGACAAACAGGTGATGGCTAACCAACCAGACATTGTGTTGATCGACAAACAGCAGAAGAAGGCAGTAATGATAGATGTGGCAATCCCAAGCGACAGCAACATCAAGAAGAAAGAACACGAGAAGCTTGAGAAATACCAAGGGCTGAAGGAGGAGCTAGAAAAGATGTGGAAAGTAAGAGCAGCAGTGGTGCCAGTGGTAATTGGAGCACTGGGGGCTGTGACCCCCAAACTGGGAGAGTGGCTACAGCAGATTCCAGGTAAAACATCAGAGGTCTCTGTCCAGAAGAGCGCAGTCGAGAACCAAGAATCCACCTTTCGTATTCCATTTTCAGAGTTTTTTAAAGTGTTTAACAGAGACGTTAGCACCTCGACGTCGGAGTACACAGAGTGAAGCGAAAAGACTACAACTGTGTAAACAGGCCCCATTTCCGTTTCCGGTGGCAGGGGAATATTGACTATTCCAACAGAACTCAATGGGATTTACAAAATGCTAAATAAAACACTACAGGAACGTTTTTTCTTTACGAAACTTTTTTTGGAACGTCATTGAACAGCGCTGACGACCCGGTGAGTAGCATATTTTAAAAAAAGAACGTTTAAGGTTGTTTTAAGGACATTATCGGACATGCACTATGGAAGCCATTCTGAAGCAGCCAGGGGTGGATTCTAAATGAGCCAAAAAGCAGAGACAGGACCAATTGTCAAAATTTTGGTGTCGATCATTCGATTTCATCCTGGACACTACAGAAAATGGGCTAAAAGTGTTAAAAACCGGAATTCTCCTTTAAGGGGGACAGATTGGGGTCAAAGCGGGGCCAGTGTTTTTTTTCATTGGGGCACAAAGCAAAAGAAAAAAAAAATAGGCTTAATTTTTAAATAATATATAAAATAAAACAATTGGTTAACAATACCAATCAGTTGGAGGTTCTTTTCCAGCTCATATTATAATTAATTTATCATAAATGTATAATTTATTATGAAAATAATACAAAAAATAAAATTGGTAGACCCTTATCAGCTTCACATGTAATGTCCCTCATTCAGCTCTGCCAATCGACATTGGGACCGCTCCTCCTTAGTAGCCGATGATTTTTCCAAATAATCTTCATTTAGCTCTTGATCTAGCTTCCCTCCCGCATGCCAGCAAACATTCACCCACCTTTGCTTTATTTCCTCCATCTCCTCTTTCTCCCTCTGGCTTATTCCTCCGCCAGTTTCGGACCCTGGGGGTAGGACTCCAATCCTTTTCGTAGGTTAGTTGATCAGCGAATGTTGATCCTTAGCATCAAAGTCTTCTGCCGGGGCCCGAGCGCCAAATACCTTATTTTCATTCATGTCAATATCTGATTCTATCTCTTTAAAACTCAGTTGGCCTCGGCAGAGGGCCTATCACACTGATCTTGGTTCTTTTGGGTGGGATGTGTTGTGGATTAGCACTGTATAGATAAACTAAATTGAACTGAATAAAACGTTTCTAATTCAAGCTTTTCTATGTGTGAATCTCTCCAGGTTGAACTGTCTTCAGTACAGGGGGCCATAAAAGTGGCCAGGACCAAATCAACAGAGGCACTGGCCCCTGTGGGCCCCTGTCTAGAAGCGCCCATGCTGCATTGTATTGATACAGTCGAAACATTATTGTTTTTTGGATATGAATTGCAATAAGCTCACCAAGATGTTCTGACTTGTCTCTGAACTGTTGTTTTATTTATCTTGTAGTTAATGTTGGAGTTTGTTCACTAACATTCTCTAAGAAATCTCAAAATGCTTTTACAGAACAGCTGCATTTAATAATAATAACCATGTTATTTAAAGCTGTTGGCTACATTAAATTATATTTGGGAAATATGATTTAATGTATCTAAATATAAATGTATAACATACTTCGTATAAAACTTGTCTCTTTTTTATCAGTAATGAATAACTCCAGAGAAAACAATGCTGCCAGTCTTATTTTATAACACTTTGGTATCATATGGAAGGTTAATTGGTGCAACTTTTACTGTGTGCTGCAATACTACCGTACTTCTTTTTTGTCTGCACCTGTTAGAAATAGCCAAAACTCATTAAAGGATGACGTTCAATTCAACTGGCTTTGATAGCATTACCCGTAGCCTTGATGAAAACAATTCTCAAGAAAAACTTTGCGTGCATATCCGGACAAAGGCCTGCATAGGAAAACAGTGAGTCAGACAAAGGCAAAGTGCCAAGTTTACAAAACAACAAACCAGTTTAGAGGGAAGCAAGGAGCACCCTTTTTTAATACTCAAGTGATCAGCAACTGAATTCCTGAATTAAATGTAATTAGTGTTGTAAAAATAATGCTTCTTATCTTATTACAAAAAATAAAATTCGATTTTTCTTTTTCTTTTAGGTTGGTTTAAACATAATATTTTTCAATGTGGATATTATGTTTCTCTCTTGTTTTGCTCAAAAGTACACATTTTGGCTTTCTAATGTTGTTCCTTTAGGTAGGTTTCCTTCTAAATATCTCCAGTTTCTGTCACAGGTCAAAGTACCCCTCAATTTCATATATGTCATGCTTCATATTTTAATGGAAAGATGGTAAAAAGGTTTGAGTATGCCAACATATTTCATTATAAACAAACTGAATTCAGCACAACAAGAATACAGCCGTAGAAAAACATATTAGAACACCACAGTTTTCTTTAATTTCTTCTTCCTAAATGTTTATTACCTGAAAAATACAATGAAAAAAAATATTAAATAATGATGATCTAGTAATATTTTCTATGATTGTATGCATTTGTATGTTTAGAGCAGTTTGTAAATTGGTGTTTGTGTTCCTGTGTTTGTAAAACAAGTGGAGCCGTCTCTTTTTTAAATATTACTAGGCACCACAGCACAACACCATCTGCATGGCAACTAGACACAGTCTAAAAGCAGATATTAACCTTTGTTTTGTTTCATTTTCAACAGTAAATATGCAATCCATCTATGCATCAGCTAAACTTCATATTGAAAATATATTTTATTGACATTAATACATGAAAGTTGCTTTATCACTAGGCACAACATCCTAAAACTGACTCCATTATTTGCTGCAGGTAAAGAAACTAGAAAGCCATCCCCTCTAAAAGAAAATGCATAAGGCTTCCAGCTTCTCAAAATATTGTTAAAAAAACAAACCAGAAAACAATTATTTAAAGAGAGAATAGGATATGAAGCATCCTGCTTTTCCTGACCCCATTTAGTGGGTGAGGTGGGAAGGCTGCCGTGTTGCACAGGATGATTCCCTGGAAAATACAGTAAATGATAACAGGCGGGTAGTACCATACCGGAACAAAATAAACTCGCCAATTTTAAAATTCCAAGCAGACAAGTCTGAACTCAGCATGCTCTGCTGTTAGGAGATGGAATGATAAGGGCTTTTTAAGTTTAAGCTGGAAGTGCAAGCTACCAGTTTTTTTTATATACAGTAAAGAAGTCATACATTTTTCCTCACTATGGCTTACCTGATTAAATCCAAAGATTAAATCAGTTTTTCCTAATTATAAAATATGTTTTTTGTTCAGTTTGTTTTTGGAGGCGTTAAATATCCATCTATACATGTTCTACTCTGTGGTACTCTGGTTGTAGTCAAACAGACAGTAAGGTACAGAATCAGTTAAGATGAGAGGAAATGATCTGACAAAATATTCAGAACAGCTGTTTAAGAGCCTCATGTTCAGGCTTGATTTATTCCCAGATCTACCCTCTGTTTTAGTTAGCACAGGTACTTAAAGGTTGTTTTCTACAGAATCATGCTAATGGGAATAACTTACTGCTGAAAGTAACAGCAGTAAAATAAGCAATGCCATAAGAGGAATGCCAAGATGTTAAAATGAAGCATAATTGAAATCAATAAAACATAAATTGTATTAAGTTGACAAAGACAAAATGCTGGAGATCAATTTCAACACAATTTTTTCAAAATAAAGCTGCTTTAGGTTAAGTAACATGAATGGCGAGTAGGAAGCATACTGACAATAGCATACTGACGATGTAAGCATTGCTATAGCTCTACAAGGCGAAAAAACTTTGACAGACAAAAAAAAAACATAATCTTCATATGATAAAGTTTTTTATACATTTAATAAATTGTGGCTTAAAATGATGTGCATTCTACACTGTTTCTGATGCTCCTACGAGTCGTCTTATTATCGCATCCCTGGTAGGCTAACAGGAGCAACATACCTCAGCCAACACGAGTTACAACTGTACTTGGCCTGCGAAATACATCGTTAAACAAGTCCACACAAACAGATATTTGGCATTTTGTTTATTGAGCAATTAAAAAAAATGTAGTGATAACACAGTTGTGTATCTAACCCATTAAAATATAGGAGGGTGTCACATCTCCCTGGTTTTTTGGCAGTCAGAGCACAGCATTTCACAATAAAGGTTGCACAGGGCTATGTGTGTCACAGGCTAAGGCGAAGACCACAATAATGGTTGAACCCTCAGTTTCTTAGCAAAACCCCATCATTTTACAGTCCGACTTTGGGGGATTTCTTAGGTGTACTCACAGACAGATATTTCTTTAACCAGGCTTTGTATTACAAGTAGAAAACACCTCTGTACACTTTTTGCATAAGGCTCCACCATACCACATAAATAACATGCAGATCTTGACACTAAGAAATGTAATAAACAAATAAGAACACAAGACAACCTATTAAACAACCTATTAAACCATGCAACATTTAGATCAGATGAAAACTGGCACATAAGTTGAACACTTTCTTATTTAATGGCTGTGGACATATTTCTTAGTGATTCTGAATACTAAATCAGTTAAAAACACCATATTTAAAAGTTTTCTTAAAAAAAAAAGGTCAAGACTAGAATTATAAAAAATAAAATGTATTTTAAAAAGGCAACAAATGAAATCTTCCACTCTTAATTCCCAACCTCACCATGCATGAACAGATTTACAGCTTAATGAGTATTAATAACTTTAACCACTCATTGTGTTGATGCTCATAAAAGACATTAGGAAAACGTCAATATGTAGTACATAGAACATTCACTGACGTCCAAACCACCAAAACTAAAAGTGCTTTTTGATAGATCTTATTCTGCTCAACTTATAAAAGTAAAAAAACAAGCAAACATACTTTATTCTAAACCAAATGCAACTTTCCCTACTGAATAGAGCAAGAACTGCTGAAACAAATAAATCTTTAGCAATTACCACATAATCCCAGTTTCAAGAACATTTGCAAATATACAGTACTTGACTTTGAAGATGTATGTAATTAACTTACGTATAGTCCAGTATCCAGCTAACTGTTGCACATCTCTGTCTGTCACTTTGTATTAATCTTTAAATCCAAACTAGAGATATGAGAGGCTATGACTATTTCATTCCATGTTTTTTTTTAAGCTAAGCATTGTTTACTTCGCTTTTTGGCGTACAAATCTTTGCCAAGGTACTGAACTGTGGCCCCAATTTTTCAAGAAATGTCAAATCAAAATCTTCATATAGATCATTTTCCTGTGAGAGACAACTTTTGTTGCTCCCCTCATATTCATAAAAATTGACAGAGTCTGTGCTTAATGATGACTCTCTCTCATAGGCCCCCAGACGCTGTGGGATTTAAACCAGAAGAAAGACACATTAATATCATCAAAACACTTTAAACTGTTGTATTTTTGACCCTTGGCTCCATAATACGTACAGTAGTTATGCTAATAGTGATTCAAATTTCTACATAAATAAATTTTATTTAAAAATGTTATTACATGATTGATCTTTATTTATTGCTGTCTGGCACATAGATTTTATTTAATCAGATAATCAGCTAAGATTCTTTCAGGATATTTGTGAGCGTACAAAATGGTGAGTTAATCTTACCCGGTGAAGCTGGCTTCGAAGATGAGCCTCTGTGGCTCTAGTAGATTGGCTGAAGGAAGAGTTTCTCATAGACTGGCTGTAGGTGGAGTTGCTCTAATATAAGAAGTTTTAAGATTTAATAGCAGCAGTAAAAATAACACATAAAGTGACAATTTTCTCATACATTTCTTTCTAATCTGTTTATATAAATATTTATAAACCTTCACATTTAGTTACAGTAAACACATTTTAATCAGTTTTTATATTACAGAGCCAAACAACATGGTGCATAAGTATAATGTAAAAGAAAAGTTTAACACTTTGTATTTTTGGAGTAAGTTTCTTTGACTTTCCATATGAAGAGACATACGTTTTTTGACTATTTTTATGCAAAGCGCTAGGCTGGACCAAACAGAGCATGTATGAGTCGAAGCATGACTCCAGAGTTTCAACTGGACTGAGGTTTGGACTTTTATTGGTTTATTCTTACTCCTGTATGAGCTTTAATTAAAATGTAGCTCTGGGTGTTCCATCCCTAAATCTGTTAAAGCCTTAAACAGAATTTACACCCAGACTTCCCTTGCACACTGCTGACCAAATATCTTTCCCTACTGAAGAGAATTGATGGAGCCTCATTGGATACATGACTTTTCATTAGTGTCTTTTATTTTAATTGGCTTGTTTACTGTACCATTCTTAAATCAAGATAAGATTATCAGTATGCAGAAAGAAAATTGTCCTATTGTAGCTGGATTTATAATGAGGTTAGATTAGATATATGCACCCCATGTTTTCATTGTTTTTAATTTTAGGTTATTTTCAGTTTTAATTTTTTATTTTAGATAATTGCTTGTGCCTGAATTTATTGGGGGGCTAAATAATTACTGAAGTTACAAACAAATCCAAGCCCCATTTTCTAGAATTTTATTTCTAAACAATTTCTGGATTTCTTGTTTTCTGCCTGTTGCATGTCTTTTTTTCTCTTTTACACATAGCCTTGTAATTTTTTTCTCCCTTGATCATATTTTTTAACACTGCACTTAATGCTTCAATGAGTAGTTTAACTTATATTTAAATTAATGTAGAAAATTTGACAAACAAGCAAAGAAAACAAGAAGGAGGAAAGCACGATCAAATCATGACATACAGCAACAGGGATTTCATTATTAGAAATATTAATATAATAAATTAAAGTTTGCTTTTTTTTGAATGAGAGGAAATTCAGCATATCAAGATTTTTGCATACAACAAAAAATGGAGGTGTACTTACCCTAAATGTGCTCCTCCCAATGGTGCTTGCATAGCGCTGAATTAAGGAAAGAAAAAAAAAACTCTTTATTTTAATATTTTAACCTTTCTTTTTTTTTCTTTTAAGCCACTGAAATACAAAGTATAGCTATATCTGTATCCACGCTGACATATTTTCTTTTCTGGATTTCGGGAACTCATGTTGTTGCTGTTTTGTAATTTGTCTCACTAAGGACAAGGAAAATAATTTTTATTGATCACAGCAAATGTACATTATGCAGTATTTGTTACGACTCAGAATATGAACGCTTTGCTTTAACTACCAAACTCTCTACAAAAGTGTACCATTATAAAATCTTAAATATACAATGTTAAAATTAAAATACTTTAAAACAATCATTATGCAAATGTAAAATAGAAAGAAGCAAAATTATATACATATACTAAACAGGTTAATGATCTCTTCATGAACCATTTTGTTGCAAATGCTAAATGTGTGTATAGATAAGCTTTAGCTCTTTCATATTAACAACTGGGAACTTCCAGCTTGTACATTTATTTGTTTATATTTTTGGAAATGAACAAGCTTTGTTAATTTAAGTTTCAGTGCACTACTTATCAATTACTCAAGGTACCAGATTGACACAGCAATTTACATATCACACAGTCACTGAGAAAGATTAGATGTGGTGGCCTTAATCACTCACTCTTGATTCTCCCTTAAGGTTTCCGTGGAAGCCTCCATGAAACTGAGACTCCATCGTGTTCATCTGTGGACACATTTTATAATAAAGCTAAATTACCTTCCAAAGGCAGTGGAAACATAATAAAACACACAAACCAATGGATTATAATAGTATTTTCTGAACCACTAATAGAACATCTGAACTATGGTTACCCCATAAGAAGATGATGCCACCATGGGGTCCATTCTATACAAATCTTCAGGGGATGTTTCAGTTTCCTAGTAGGATACAACAAAAGAATAAAGAATTGACCAAAACCACTTTTGCGAAATTGAAGGCTAAAAAAAAGATCCAATTAATAACTATTTACAAAAGGATTACACTCAGTAATATTTTCAGTAATAAGTGTCCTGTTGAATACACATATTCAATTTGGTTTTGATTATATATATATATATATATATATATATATATATATATATATATATATATATATATATATATTGCACTGAGTTATTGCAAATAAATATTAATAATAATTATATTTATAATAATATATTATATATATAATATATAAAATATCTAATGAATAATATATATATATGTATATATATGTATGTGTATATATATATATATATATATATATATATATATATATATATATATATATATATATATATATATATATATAAAAAACGGTGGATAAAGTTATATGCTTGCCTAATGCCATCTGGTGGAGAATCTAAGTACAACACATAGCAGGTGTGGGTTTATAATGAATAGAAGAAAAATAAATCTTTTCAGGAATCGTCACTAGAGAGAAAAAGTAAGAAATATATTTTTTTACTTTTTTTTAAATTGTCATGAATAAAGAAATTATTATTACTATTATATTTTATAGACAGACTATATTTTTTGTGTGTATTCTTCAAATACCAGACTTTTTTGGGAAACAACTTTCATAATGCTAGAGCTTAAAACAGATTACTGTATGATTTGGCAAAGACTATAATACCACTTACTTAGAGTTGACATTAAAAAGGTAATCACACACAGGCTTAAAAAGAAATGAACACTAGAAAGTAGTGACAAGTACCTGCATGTACTGCTTAAGGCCCTCATTCACATCTCTGGCTTGTGGTAATATTATTGGAGACTGAAAAAGAAATAGGATGTGAAAAAACCAACACTTAATGCATTTGCTCTAGCAGTTTATCACACTCAGCATGTGTCTTTTCATTAAGATTCAGGTTATTTACTGGATATGGTTCAAATTTGCTACAAATAGGGATTTTACAAGTAACACTGGTCCAATTGGTTTTTAATCATTTAGAAATACAGAATGAATCAAATCAAAACATACTCCAACATGTTTTGATTCCAATTGGTCAAAGTTAACTGATTATGAGAGACTATCTGCATTTTTGGAAATCCCTCCTTATATGGGGTACAAACAGTCTTTCTTCATTCAGCACAGTTGCTTTACAAACTGACCTTGCAATCAGTGCCCCCTCCTTCTTGGTTGTAATTGATCAACGTCTGATGTCCATCATCAATATCCATTTTAAATTCCCTTTTTTGATTGCATGTCAAGACAGCAAGTAATACTGTGGACACATTAATAAAACTTTGAGCTCATTTGTCTTTACACAAAGTATATATTTTTTGTTAAACTGAGAAAATAGTACTAAAAGAAAACGAAATGTTTGTTAAAGCTTAGTTGTTTAATATATATGTATTATAATGCTTTTCATCATATGTACATATTTTGTATAAATAGCTAGATGGATTTTAATAATTTTCAATATATATTGTATAATACTGTATCAGTTTAAATAAATTTACTCTTATACTCACGCAAAAAGAGAAGCAGTCCTGCAATAACTAGTCCAATGGCAGCTGCACCAAGGTTAGTTAACAGAGGCTTCAATTCACGGCAAACACCTTCTTCGTTACACTCACACACCTCCACTTGCAGAGTCTCTTTGGAGGCCTGATTCTGTTTGTCCTCCATCAACAATGGCACAGAGTAGTTACCATATTGGAGATCCGTCCGTTTACTAAGGGTAACTTCGTTACCTATTTATGATATAAAGAAATATTTGTGACCCAACATTGACTGTTAGGTAGTCTTAGTGAAAAGGGTAAAAAGGGGTTAACCAACCATTTTGAGAGATTAGTTTCCAATTTTTAATAGTATCATCCCCTTCCAAGGCAAAGTTGAAGGGCCCACTGTATGGATCGGCGTCAGTATCCTTAACAGGTACCTTGACCATCGCTTCAGGTTCGTTTGTACACAAAGTAGCAGTCTTCTTGACCAACGTAGGTAAGTTATCATTAATATCCCTGAGGTATATTGTGACGGTACATGTACTTGTGGCTGGAGGTTCACCTTAAAAAGCAGAGCAGTTCAATTCATAAATTAATAAAATATGTTTTTTTTTTGTGTAGCTGCAAAAGTGAAGAGGTGCTTTGTCATACCATTATCGACAGCTGCAATAACAACTTTATAAGCATTATCCACGACATGGGGTGACTCTCTGTCCATCCTACTGACTGATGTTATTTGGCCTGTTTTTTCATCAACAGTCACCCAGTCAGCACTGTCATTTACCTTGATGTACCTGGACGCAAATCGGAAAAATCAGACGGTAGGTCATTTTGGTTATTTGGAGAAAAATGGCCAAGTAAAATTGAATGAAACAAGCACTTTTATCTACATATATTTCTAACTGTAAAGCTTATCAAAAAAGGTGATAGTAATGTCCTCTGAAATGTACTGATATGGTTATATATAGACAAAATAAAAGCAATTAAGTAAGCCCAGAGATTCTTAAGCTGTTGCCATAGCAAATAGTAGCACCATTTTAACATTTGTTTTCTTAGTAAAAGTAGAAGATATTCATCCAAGAAATTAATCAACTAATACTGTAAAAGTGATACTAAAAATGAATCAAGTTACTCAGGTTACTCAGTAAATGTAACTAAGTTAATGAAACTAGTTACTACCCAACTCTGCATAACCTGCCTACCTTCATTCAGGTACAGGACTTAAAAATCAATGTTTGGACACTTATTTAATTCTCTAAAAAAGTTTCACTCTCTTCCCTTTGCCTAAAACATGTACTACCAGAACTTGCAAAAGTTTGGCTAGTATTTATTTTATAAATGGTAAAATTTGCCTTAATAGTTACTTTGCATCCACAAACTCATAATGCGTAACAGGAATGCAATTATATAGGCACAGTACCTGAAGCTAGAAGAGTCAATATCTTTAACTACAGGAGTATACAGCAGCTGTCCCGGCTCTGATTCCTCAACCATGTGTACTTTATCTGATTTTGTTTCAAACACTGGGGGGTCGTTGGTGTCAACCATCTTCACTTTGATTTTAACGGAATCGAGGGGTTGGTCTTTGGGAGGTGTAGATTGTTTACCATCTTTACAGAGAGTCAAGTCTTCAATGTTTCTAACTCCAATTTCCAGGTTTACAAAGGTAGTTATATCAAAATTTTTCCCCTGAAGAAAACACAGATTGAGAAGCAGCAGTGGTTTAAGATTGGTGGATTCAGTCATAAATTAACATTTTCTGTAGGGTCCAGTGAAATGGTTACCTTGGCTATACCAATAATTCCCTCGTTTGTTTCGGTGTCTGTGGTAATATTGTAGGTATTATCTTCATTACCGCTGATGAAGAAGTATTTGGCTGTCCAGCCTTCAGTGCCGGGCGAGTCCTTATCCTCTACTCCTACTCTTAAAATTTCGGCAGAGGCTGTGTTTTCTAAAGCCTCGGCGTCATACTGAAAAAAAGATAAAAAAAAGACAAATTTAGCTGAAGTTATAAAAATATTTTAAAAACTGTATAAATAATGGTATCATGAGTGATTCTTGCCTCTCTCTTTTTAAACTTCGGTGGGTGGCTGTTTGTGTCAATAATATTAAGTATAATAGTAGCAGTGCTGGAAAGTGGTGGCTTTCCCTTATCAACTGCTTTAAGGACAATTTTGTACTGCTTTGCTTTCTGTAAAACAGGTACAACATCATTTGCAAAAAAAATGCACTGATTGTAAATTTTCAAACAATAAACCACTTTCAATAAAATACATCCTACATCATAGTCAAAACATCCATCCAGTTTGAGTCGCCAGTCATTTTTTGTTGTATTGTCTACTCTGATCTTTGGTTCAGCTGGTATTTGGTCTACAACGTTGACTGTGAATGTTGAGTTTTCTGTGCCCTCCTTGTCGAAGTCTTTGACTTCCATTGCTGCAGGGAGGAATTCTCCTGGAATACAAACAACGGAAATCAGGGAGGCAATCTGAAGTTTTTACTTGTTTTTTTTTCCTCTCAGTTCAGGAAAACATTTTATTACATTACATTACATTCTTTAAATTTTCTTCATGAAAAATATTTAAAAGTGTAAACATAAGCAAGAGCCCCTCATGTGCTAATAGTCAACTTAATTTAAGTTGGTAATGGAAGAGTTTCCTTTACTTTATGTAATTTAAAAAATAAAAAAAGGTAGTTTTACAGAGAAAATTATTTCATTATTTCATCTCCGTTATCAAGAGTGTACTTTCATTTTTTTCAATGCATAATTATATTTAAAATTATATAAAAAATCTGCACATTTTTGAAAAAATGGCTTGTTTGTGAACTTACCTGATGTGGCATTTTCAAATACCTTGGCTATTTTATCAATCTTTATGAACTTTGGTGGATTGTCATTTATATCTTGTACTTCAACATCAAAAGCTAACTGTCTGTCAATACTGTTTGTTGTTCCCTCTTCTTTGACATCAAATGTGATCTGTTTATGAAAATATTAAAATAACACAGTTTTAGAATATTGCATATCTTAGTCAATATTAATAGTAATGCATTGTTCCTCACATGGAAGCTGGGAGTTGTTTCTCTATCGATAGGTTGAAGAACATAGACATCTCCCGTCTTTTCATCAATATTGAACAGTGTTTCATCCGCACCGTCTCCACCCATTACAAATATATGGTGATCGTCGTTGTGCTTGTCGTTGTACATCTATAAGAGATCCACATATAATTAGGCTCTCAGTGGCATTTCGTTTTTGTGTTTGTATCCTTCATTGAATATTGAGCTGTCACACTTACAGAATATGGTAATTACAGAAAGCATATTATTTTACCTTAGAGATTCTGTACGGGTATTTAACATCCATTTCCTCTTCTAGCTCTATTGTAGATAGGACCCATCTTCTCTTGGAACGCGATAAGAACTCCTAAAGGAGCCCACAAGCAGTTTAAGCAGACAATTACAGAAACATTTGTTAAGAAGAACATTTTATAATAATTTCTTTTCAATTTTTTAACTACTTACCCGTTTAGCTCGCCTGTGTGGCTTGCTTCCCACTTCGCTCAGTCCCAGGGCTGCTAATGTAATCTGAATGGAATAAATTTAAAGATGCAATGGGGCTTACTTAGCAAAGTCAATTTGCTGCTCATTTCCTTTTTTCATGTCGTTTAACAAAATAGAACATGTCACAGAAATTCACTTGTAAAACATGCTGTGTTTGTTCATGTGTGTGAGAGTTTTTTTTTTTTGGTCCACAAATCTAGATAAAGAAGGTGAGATGGGATGGGAGCAGCTATAAAAAAAAAAATAATCTTTTTATGTGGACAGCAATGTTTAAAATTTATTAGGGCTTTTTTGCCATCTTTGTAAAGCTTAGATATCCTTCAAGTAATCTAAAATTATTGGTAAAAACAAAAACAAAAAACAAACTCATGACTGCATGCAAAATAATACATATTACAGATTTTCACTTGATTGAAACCAAGACTTGAAAAATACCCAGATATATACGTGGCTCTTAAACATCTGTTCAATCACATTACAATATCCAATGTCATGGATGTACAACAATGAGACCATGATAAACTTTTAGAAATATACTATGACATTTAAACATTACAATTAAAGCAAATAGAATGGAAAAATTAGAATGCAAAACTGATTAAAAACTCAATGGAACTCTCTTTGTGAGTTTCTGATAAAATTGACTTAAAGAAAGTCTGTCCTTCTCTTTATTTTTTATTAGAATAGACTGTTCTTTTAAAGTTTACAGTGGATGTAAAATCTGCACAAAGTTTTCATGTAAAACATATTGCTATGGCAACCTTTCCTTTAAACATAGAAGCAAACCAAATAAATCAGGCCAGTGAGATAACTCTGTTCAAACAGTTCTCATTTCAGAAATTATTTGGCAGTTCAATGCTTTAGAAAGCCTCTATAAAACGTCTATATACAAAAACGGCAGCTATTTTATTTTTAAATATATAAATTTTGAAATAGAGTTTTTCTCTCACCAAACACATTGGGAACACCCCCTTTTAAAAACTATTTCTTTATGTTCTTCTCACTAGATGCTAAAGAAAATAATATATTTTATAGAGATGCTATTGACAATAACCTATCCCTTATTTTATAATTACTGAATACGAAAATTCCACTCATAAGTAAAATAGGGATATTTAAATGTCAGGTTGCAATTTCAATATGATTGAGAAAATCAAATTAAAACGTCCTTTTTGTTTTTTTATGTAGTTTGACAAAACAGAATTAAAATAAATTTATTTTAGATTTGTTTCAGTCTATTTAATTGTAGAGTTCCTCAATTGAGAGACAATGTATATGAAGGTTAAACTGAATTTAAACTTTAAAATTCTATTTTACATTCAATTTAAAACTGTCGTGAGAGGCTTTATTTATTGTAAATTGTTTTTGATGTAATTTGCTTATGACATGACACTGAAATCAATAGCTATTAAACTGTAAATTTCCACAACTGTTCAAATTGGTAAGGAAATAAAATGCAGAAATGGAGGTGAGAGTAAATGCATTTGTCTCAATTGCAGTCCTTTCGATGTCCTAATCTTTATTTTTTTGGTATTCTGTAGTAGTTATTGATTTTCTTTATTCTAACAAGGTGTAAAAGATAATGTTGCACTTTATCGTTTTCTGACTTGATTGGATTAAACCAATGAAACTAACTAAAGAAAGAAAAGCTGTCAGCTGTAAAAGAAAAAAAAAAAAACTCAGCTATATTTATTAATGCTAATGTTTTGATGCCACTGGTTGTGATTGTTCTGTGGAGTTAAAACCGTAGAGGCCCCACCAGTGGGCCCTTGAAGCATATGGAGCCAAGTGATATAATTCAAACTAAAGGAGTAAATTTACCTTTAAAGAAAAATCGTTTTCATTTTCAATTTCTACATGACATGGACCGTCTTTCTGAATCGATGAGAAAAACGTTGAGTCGAAAAGAAAATATTCAAAGCATTGACACCAGACTCATCAAACAGGGATACGTTGTTCCTTATCTGCTTGAGGGTGAACTTAGTACAGCATCTGGGTGTGCCTTCAGAAATACCTTTATAATGAAAGTTTTCTGTACAAAATAAAATCTAGTTTCCTTTAAGAGTAAAGTTTATTATGTGCAGAAAAAAAGGGACCACAGGAGCAAGGGAAAAATATGAAACTCAGAAGGAATTATTTTATCTATGATAAGGTCTGATGAGAATTACCATGATATCAGATTCTAGAGTTTCAGTTAAGTTTGTAACAAAAAGAGGACATTAATGTTTTAATTCTGCAAAAGTAGAAAATTTTTGGAAAGATATTCGATAAGTTTTATTTCTCCTTCTTCCTCCAGAATTTTTTATTATTTGTAAATATTGGCACAAAAGTTACATAAACTGTAACACTAACAAGCTATATGCTTTATAAATTAAGTTGTTGATATATAAAAGTTGTGCTCTTACTGTATGCAAAAAATAAGTTGCCTACATATATAAGCTGTGGGTAATTTTATTTAGCCAAAAAAATGTTTTGATTTTTTTTTTTTTCTGTAAGATACATTATTGTTCTGTTAGTGCATATAGAACAGAAATGAAGACAATATATGTAATCCTTACCAGCAGAAGCAGAGGAAGGCTCTTCATCGTGATTTTCACAGATTCCTATCCTTACTGAGAACAGTCTGTATAAAGCAAAAACAACCTGACTTAGTGCTCGGAAAGGCCACACCCACAATGCTTGGAAGCATCAGATTGGCTGACACAAAATCAAGGGAATTGTACTCTTAAAAGGACTATTTGCAAAGACCTTTTATATCCAACAAAATGTAATCAGGTCTTCAAAATTTGCTTTACTATGTATTTGTAAAAATTCACTTTAAGAGCGGAATTTTGAACACTCTGTGCTTCTGATTCTGGCTCTGCTCAGGTGTACACCCTCAAGCTATGTAGCTCAGGTTACCATCTGGTATTTTATGTCTTCCTCTTCTCACAAACGAAACTCAAACTCAGAGTTTTTCAAAACTCCTGGCAGCCATTGCTGTAAGAGATTTTCTTCTACGTCAAAATGACAAGTTACTTTCAGAGAGATAATCAGCTTCCATAACTAGTAATAATTATTGTACCTGGTTCACAGAAATTCGAAAAACAAATAAAAATCTTTATTGGGCTGCTCTGGAGTTTCTATCTGCACTTCTGGTGCAGCCACCGCCCTTCATAAAAAAGCATTTTGCATGTAAGGAGATTCCCTGCAACGTTCTCATGCCTTTGCTGTGACTGTGTGAGAAGCCACAAAACTAACTTGATTTAGTACAAAACATTTCAAATCTACATAGAGGGCAGAGCTTTCTTCCGTTTAGATAATGCATCTTGATAATAGAAAGTCCTGTTTTATAAAATCCTTATTTACAGTGACCTATGGGAGTACCTGGATAACTGGCTGTATGGCATATACACCAGATGTGATATATTTGACTTGTTTGGATCTCATTTTAGGGGGGGGGGTTGTGTGTGAGTATCTAACTTTGCTTTGCATAATACAGGTGCTGGTCATAAAATTAGAATATCATGAAAAAGTAGATTGATTTCAGTAATTCCATTTAAAAAGTGAAACTTGTATATTATATTCATACATTACATACAAACTCATATATTTCAGATGTTTATTTTGTTTAATTTTGATGATTACAAATGACAACAAATGAAAATCTCAAATTCATCATATCAGAAAATTAGAATATTACTGAAGACCAATAAAAACAAAGGATTTATAGAAATGTTGGCCAACTGAAAAGTATGAACATGAAAAGTATGAGCATGTACAGCACTCAGTATTTAGTTGGGCCTCCTTTGGCCTGTATTACTGCAGCAATGCGGCGTGGCATGGAGTCGATCAGTCTGTGGCACTGCTCAGGTGTTATGATAGCCCAGGTTGCTCTAATAGTGGCTTTTAGCTCTTCTGAATTGTTGGGTCTGGTGTATTGCATCTTCTTCTTCACAATACCCCATAGATTTTCTATGGGGTTAAGGTCAGGAGAGTTTGCTGGCCAATTAAGAACAGGGATACCATGGTCCTTCAACCAGGTACTGGTAGCTTTGGCACTGTGTGCAGGTGCCAAGTCCTGTTGGAAAATGAAATCTGCATCTCCAAAAAGTTGGTCAGCTGCAGGAAGCATGAAGTGCTCTAAAACTTCCTGGTATGTGGCTGCGTTGACCCTGCACCTCAGAAAACACAATGGACCAACACCAGCAGATGACATGGCACCCCAAACCATCACTGACTGTGGAAACTTTACACTGGACTTCAAGCAACGTGGATGAAGTGCCTCTCTTCTTTTCCTCTAGACTCTGGGACCTTGATTTCCAAAGGAAATGCAAAATTTACTTTCATCAGAGAACATGACTTTGGACCACTCACCAGTCCTGTTTCTCTTTAGCCCAGGCAAGACGCTTCTGACGCTGTCTGTGGTTCAAGAGTGGCTTGACACAAGGAATGCGACAGCAGAAACCCATGTCTTTCATACGTCTGTGTGTGGTGGTTCTTGAAGCACTCACTCCAGCTGCAGTCCACTCTTTGTGAATCTCCCCCACATTTTTGAATGGGTTTTGTTTCACAATCCTCTCCAGGGTGCGGTTATCTCTCTTGCTTGTACACTTTTTTCGACCACATCTTTTCCTTCCCTTCGCCTCTCTATTAATGTGCTTGGACACTGAGCTCTGTGAACAGCCAGCCTCTTTAGCGATGACCTTTTGTGTCTTGCCCTCCTTGTGCAAGGTGTCGATGGTCGTCTTTTGGACAACTGTCAAGTCAGCAGTCTTCCCCATGATTGTGTAGCCTATAGAACTAGACTGAAAGACCATTTAAAGGCTTTTGCAGGTGGTTTGAGTTAATTAGCTGATTAGAGTGTGGCACCAGGGGCCATCAATTTTGAACCTTTTCACAATATTCTAATTTTCTGATATGATGAATTTGAGATTTTCATTTGTTGTCATTTGTAATCATCAAAATTAAACAAAATAAACATCTGAAATATATGAGTTTGTATGTAATGTATGAATATAATATACAAGTTTCACTTTTTAAATGGAATTACTGAAATCAATCTACTTTTTCATGATATTCTAATTTTATGACCAGCACCTGTACAAAAAATACATGCAGGGTTCTTAAATGTTCCATCTTGGGGCCTCTTCTATTTAATATCTATATGCCCTTGCTCAGATAACCGCTAATAACAACATAAGTTATAATTAATATGTAAGCTTAGAACAGGCTTCAATTGGAGGCAACCCGACCTCAGCACAGACACACTGGATACGAGGTGAAGGTCCGGTTGCCTCTGATCTATGCTTGTTTTGTGGTTGCTATTCCCGAGATGACTGAAACTTTGCACAGGATAACTATACAGCATTCAAACTCTGCAAAAGAAGAAATTGATGCATGGCTTAGCCATCATATTTTTCAGATCAATAAAAAAATAGCTGAAGTAATAATTTCTGGACAGACTGAGTGTAATCCAGAGTTAGAGCACAGTTTTGGTTACTTCAGTAGGAAGCTACTGATCATGCCTGAAATCTGGCATAGTGATAGACTCACACCTGAGGCAGAAGGCTAGAAGTAATTGATCCAAACCTCACAGCCATCCTCTCTGGCTCCCTTAGCAAGAGCCTTAAGTGCTGATTGCTACCTGGGTGCTTCATGCTGGGTCCAGTTTTGCTGTAATGTACATTTGCTTATCACTTATCCTTCAAAACCATACAACAGTCAAAGAGTCAACATCAAGTCACAGAATTAATACTTTCAGAATTAAAAATGTGTCTATTTATTTATTTTATTAAGTAGAACTGACTGCTGCTATGCTGTCTTCTCAGGTTTGCCTAAAAATTTGATCAGATAGCTGCAGTTGATTCAGAATGCTCTTGCCTGTGTCCTAATTAAAAGTGAGGATACAATCACACAGGCGGTCCTGATCCTCAATTCTGATTATTATTTCTGAAATCTGGTCTTTTGGAGGTAGTCCTTTCTACTGCTAATTAAACATGACTGCTATCAGACTACAGTCTAAACGGTTCAGTACATTGAAACAACTCTCACACTCAGAATAAGAATGTAGATAATACTTGGCAGCAAACTCGTTACATAATGATGAATGTAACTGTCACTGAAAATGTTTAACAAATCTTTGCTTAAGAAAATAGCCTAACAACTGAACCCAGTGTCTCAATTTAATTAAAGTTTTGAGTTGTTGAAAAAAACTAGAAAAAAACAGCACAAATATTAACAATCGTCATTTGCATGGCAATTAGCGTCTGTCTGGATGATTAGTCAGAGCCTTCGCAATGATGCATAGTCAGATGAAATGTGGCATGACTGTTCAGACTGCAGAAATTTTGGCCAAAGAAAGTGAACCACAACATCCAAGTTCTGAAATCCTTACATTGGCTTCCTTTATCTCAGAGAATACCTGTCTTAATTTTAAATGTTAACTGAAACATAATTGATTTTGATGTGCAATGTGTCTAACTTACTTTACCTGCTACTACTGGGTATATTTTCCTTTGCTTTTCCATGCAGAGCATTTTAAATTGTTTTGTTAAAGAAAAGTACCATATAAAGAAACTAGTTTTGGCTTTCCTTAGACTTTGATTATTCAACTTAAGATCCAAAATCCTAGCGGTATCACATATTACCTTATCCATTGGAACAAAACCTATGTGCACTCATGCTTAAGTGTTTTTTCTATGTTAATCGGACAAATATGTCTGCTGTATCCTGAGAATATGGGGTATCATTGAGTTTTAATCCAAATAAGCTTCAGCTGTCATAAAGTGACTGGAAGCAATACTTTGGCAAGGATACAGGCTATAGTATACCTCCCTATATTTACCTCCATGTTAGTTCAAGGTAAATTAACTTCTCACGCAGCAGCATTGTTCCAAACGAACCTTTCGAAAGTAGAAAAAATGTCTTTAGCTTTAGGCAGTAGTTCAGCAATTAAGAGTAAAGCAGGTTTTTGCAGTTCTCAACACACCGTTTTATTTCATTGTTTAATTCTATGTCAAGTATTAGGGTATGTGTAATACTTTTAGTAGTGATGATTTTTTATTTTCGAAATCCAGAAAACCAAACAATATAATTTTTTTTTATTTTACCTAGATATGTTTTTACTTTCTCCTTTAATCATGCTTGTACTTTATGTTACTTCTGTTGGTGTCTCACAGTATTAGTGTTGATTGGTGTGTGATTACAGTACTATATTACTGTACTTTAATTATGCCTTCTAGTTCACAGAATACTTGTTTCATTTATTTTTCGTTGTGAGCAAATTGACTTGGAACGACTCAAACCTGTTCCACATACAAAAGAAACCCTGTCTAACTATGAAACACTGCTTATGGACGTCTTATTGGTTAGTCATGGAATTCTAATTTCATAGAAGACTAAAATAGTTCTTACTTTTAGCCTCAAAGCTAAAAAGTAAAACCTTAAATATCTGAACAGCATTTTTTACACTTGTCCTGTCAATTAGGGCAATAAAATCTCACCAGATAAGGAAACAGATTGGGCCATAACTTCAGGAAAGCCTTGCAGAGCTTTAGACTCAGCACTCCACATATTGCTCAACATTGTCTTTCCCTTATTGTCACTTCATAGAAGGTATAAGATTCATAGAGAGATAACAGTATGTAC